TTCCAGCCTAAGCTGAATCAGACATCAGGACCTGGCCCTGCTCTCAGCAGCTCCCAACCATCTCTGTGATGATTGGGTTGGGTTGGGTTGGGTTGGGTTGGGTTGGGTTGGGTTTTACCACAAAGACCTTCTACCTTGTAGGTCATAACATGAGTTATACTTGGGAAGTATGAGTAGAGGGATAAAAAGGGGAAGATCTTGGTGGAGAGAGGAGACAGGTATTTGGGGAGCAGCAAGGAGGACTAGTGCCTTGTATTCAAGTATCTAATTGTACCAACCTGGAGCTCATTCGAGCCCTGGAAATCTTCATGTCCCATAGAGGAAAAGAAGGAGACCCTGGCTTCCTAGGGGCCATTAAGCAGAGAATGTGCTGCAAGCAGCATGAGTGGGTTGGGGGACAAGTGCCTCCCACAGCAACCACCAGCCCAGCCATTCCAAAAAGAGAGAGCTGCAATAGAGACTACTATACTTCACCAGTGGTTCTTAGCTTGTGGGTCACAACCCCCTTTCCAAATTCTATCTCCAAAAGCATTAACATCACAATTCATAATGGTAGCAAAATTATGAAATAGTAGTGAAAATAACTTAACGGTTGAGAATTGCTACACCATGAGGAACAGTATTAAATGGTCACAGCATCAGGAAGGTTGAGAACCACTGCTTTAGGCTGTTATAGAAGATACTTACTACCCCTCAGCCCTCCTAGGGAGTAGCCCAGCCTTGGCTTACAGCCTCTCCAGTGTCTGGCAAGGATTTGATAGCTAGCAAAAGAATGACTATGGAAGAGTAGCTCATAGTCTGAGGCCAGGGCTGAGTGAGGAACTCCAAAACATTTTGTTGCTTTTCTTAGTCAGGTATGGGCTCAGTCCTGAAATTACTGAACCCTGTCTTAGCCAGGCATATAGTATGTCTCCTTAAAGGAATATGGATACCTAGTTGACCCTTGGCTGGCAGTAGTAGATCTCTTGAGAAATGCAGCTATTCAGTAATCAGGGACTCCGTATCCTTTGTTCTGTCCTTTCTTGGTATCATCCCACACCTGAGGGTGTGTGTGTGTGTGTGTGTGTGTGTGTGTGTGTGTGTGTCCCAAGTCTTCTTGTTCTTAAAGGGATCGCTTGGGTTCTGTAAATAGAGGTAAGTCGCCATGTATTTAATCACTTTTCCTGTAGCTGTGATCAAACATCTAAGAGGGGTTTATTTAGTTCACAACTGAGAAGAATTCAGTCCACCATAGAGAGGATGCCATTGTGATAGACCAGCATGACCTGTGGTTCTGAGCAGGAAGCAGAGAAGTGGAACTCTGCCAGCACTTAACCTGATTTAACTTTTTTTCCTCTTTAGTTTTTAGTCTAGGACTGTATACCTTTAACCTGTGCTGACCACATTGAGGGCAGGTCTCATCCCCTCAGTTAGTTCTCTCTGGAAACACACAGACATGCTCAAAGGTATGCTTTGCCAATGCCTAGACATTTCATAATCCAATCAAATTGAAATTAGAAGTTAATCATCAAACACCATGATCAGATAGGGGTCCCACCCCATTCCTATGCTATTCTCGGGCGGGCACTTTCTCTTCTGCTGTTAGAAGAGCCATCATCTTGGCTGTTCTAAATTGGGCACAGCTCAGAGTGGAGACTAGAGAAGATAAGAAGGGAGGAGTGTGTAGCTTTGGGCTTTCTGGGTTCTAGGAAGGGCAAAGGGTCAGCCACCAGCTACACAAGCTTTGCTTCTTGCTCTTCCCTTTCCTCATGAGCCCACTGGCCCCGGGGGTGGGGGGGGTGGGGTTGCAGCTGAAGCTAGAGCTGCCAGTCCAAGTCAGAAGTAGCCACTCTGCAGCAACTGTGACCTATGAAGACCTGTGTCCACCCCTGGCCTAGGGGAGCCCACTGTGGTGTGGAGAGAGTGGCTAATACCATAGCATTCCTGTATTGTTTCCTTAGGATTACCCTCTCAGAGTACTTAGTGGCTTAGCACAACAGCGGTCTGTTGTCTCACTGCTCTAGAGTCTAGCTATCTGGAACTAGGCCATCCCTGGGTCTTTGCATCCTCTGGGGATACCAGGGAAGAAATCTGTTCCAGGCCTTGCTTCAGCTTCTGTAACTAATTGGCTTATAGCAACAGATCTCTCATCTCCATACAGAGATTTTCCTGTGTGTTTCCATGTCTGAATTCTTTTAAAATAAACACATATTAGGGCCTGGAGAGATGACTCAGTGGTTAGAAGCCCTAGCTACTTTTCCAGAGGACCCAGCCTTCATTGTCAACATGTACATCAATCCATATAACCATCCATAACTCTAGTTCCAGAGGATCTGACACCCTTTTCTTGCCTCCCGGGGCACCAGGCATGCACATAGTACACATACATACATGCTAACAGAACACTCAATCAACATAAAATAAAAGTAATACATCTTTTTTTAAATTACATACTTATTTATTTTTGTGTGTAAGTCAGAATACAAACCTGTGAGAGTCAGTTCTTGCCTTTCACCATGTATGTCTTGGAGACTGAACACAAACTGCTCGGTTGGCAGCAGGTGCCCTTACCCACTGGACCATCTAGCTGTCCCCTTTTTTAAAGGACAGGGGCTGTGTAGACCTTCCTCTATGACTTTTTTAAAGGACAGGGGCTGTGTAGACCTTCCTCTATGAAATTTTCTATTTAAGTAATGAAAAACATTCTGGTGAATTTTTGTGTAACTCAACGTTTATGTCTATGTTTGTTTTTCTATGTAAATCTTGCAATTGTTCACTTTTTTCCTATACTTTTTCTGTAGCCATTTGTAGAACACACTCTTTGCTCTATTAAGTTGAATTTGTCTCTTTTACAGATTCGCTGGGTATGTTATGTGGGTTGGCGCCTTCTAGTGGGAGAAGAACTGATGGCACTTCATTTACTGCGATGATCTTTGTCATGTTAGCCCTACAGCCAGAGGAAGTTCATGAGCCGGCTGTGGTTGCTCTGTCTCTTGGTCCTGCCTTCTGTCCCTAAGTACTTGGTACAGCTATTGGCAATCTTTCCACTGATGTGTCTTATACAGTGACCCCTTTTAAACACTTTACACTGTGCAGTACCCAAATTCTAGGTCTTACGTCAATTAGTATGAAGCCTCCACCCACCCCAACATCTACCCCATCTATTACTGCTGGGGCAAATGAAGGGGCTGGTCCTGTAGATACAAAGCTGCAGGATCTCCATGACACAAGGCAAGAAGGTACCTGAGAGGAGTCTAGTGAGGAGCTAGTATTGATAGTGTAGCAGAAGCCAGTATCCTCAAACCACATTAATGACTCTTGCAAAGGACGTTTGCAAGTAAAGCTTCCTAGGCAAAAGGACATACTATGAGTCACAGTGACAAAACACAGCTTCCACATGGAGATCTTTTTCTCTGTTGGGGGTAGGCTGCAAGGGCAGAGGGTGGATATGGAGGGATGGGGAGATGAGTGGGATTGGGGTACATGATGTTAAATTCACAAAGAATCAATAGATGCTTAAGAAGAAAAAAAAATATATGCCGGGCGGTGGTGGCGCACGCCTTTAATCCCAGCACTTGGGAGGCAGAGGCAGGCGGATTTCTGAGTTCGAGAGTTTGAGGCTAGCCTGGTCTACAGAGTGAGTTCCAGGACAGCCAGAGCTACACAGAGAAACCCTGTCTCGAAAAACCAAAAAAAAAAAAGAAAAAGAAAAAGAAAAAAAAAAGAGAAAAAATATAGACATCCATAAAGCCTCACAAACCAAACAAACAAATAGAACATCATGAAATTGTCACAAAACTAAATATGTCGACTACAGCTTTATACTAGTGACCTTGGATTTGAAGGAAGAAAACTCATATGATATCATAGAGCCCAAATCTAAGGATTTGTGACTGTGAGTTTGGTGGAACTAGAGGGGGCACTCATGAACTGGCATCTTAAACACATTTGTTGTTAGCATTTACATCCACCATCTGTAGTTTTAAGCTAGGAAAAGGTACGTGCAAACTATCTGTTCTCAAAACAAATGTTCTTAGTTCTCAGTGAATGCTACAGATCATTCTTTGCTTCTTTAAAATACGTTGTAGGCAATTGTTCATTAGGTACAATTTGGAATACAAGATGTATATAGTCACTTAGAAAATGTCTACTTAAGCAAATGTTATGTGCTCATAGAATATTGTGAAATTGTGAGCTAGAGACTTTATTATTACTTGTATTAATTGACATAAGACCTAGACTTTGGGTGCTGTTTCATCATTTGAATGTACAGATGTCAGAACTGACTGTTTTCTTTTTGTTTCTGGATCACTCATTTATTTTTAATGCAGAGAATTAAGAACTAAACACCAGAGTATTTCTGGACACGTAGCTTAATGAGAAATCAAGGTGTTATCCTCTCAAATAATCTTATCTTCTTTTAAGCCTAGGAAAATACTGAGGCTGGAGTATCCACCAATATTTTGTTTCTTCTTTTGAGGGGAGACTGTCGGCCTGAACTTGGGCAGGGACTCAGAATATTCTCTGTGCATCTGTGTAGGACCCAAAACAGGATGTAGGCTTCCGACTGCTGCACTGCCACAGTGATTACCCTTTGGTCCTCCCTGACCCTCCCTTACACTTTACTATCCTGGGCTGGTTTTATTATCAGTTTGACACACCAAGCATCACATGGAAAGTGAGAGTCTCAATCAAGGGACTGAGGAATTGCCCAGATCAGAGTGACCTACGGCCACGTCTGAAATGGTTCTGGTTGTTGACTAATGTGGGAAGACTCAGTTTGCTGTAGACACCATAGGCAGGTAGTCCTGGGAAGTTTAGGGAAGCTGGCTGAGCATGAGCTAGAGGGAGTAAGCCAGTAAGCATCTTTCTTATGTGATTCCATCCCCTGTTCCTGCTTTAGTTCCTACCCTCAACAAACCTTTTCTTCCCCGAGTAGTTTTTGATTGTGGTATTAATCACAGCAACAGAGGGCAAACTACAGTTATTTTCCCACTTAATAACAAAAAACAACAGCCAAGTTATCTCTTTAACTTTCTCTAAGATAATTCTATTAGAGTCCAAACTTTTCAACAAGGTAAAAACAACACAAATAAAAATAACAATTTTTCTAGAAAATGCCATTGTGGAAGTTATCAGGACAAGCAATGTAATTATATAAAAAAGAACCTTCTAGAACAAATGCAAATCTGTCAATCACTCTTTCCTCCTTTGTACTGATCAAATCATACAGAGTTCAAATATTTATTCACTTGTTTTGCATTGAAGTTTTCTAGAAGTTTCCAGCCATGACTGCTTTGTGATTGTTTTGGTGCCTTGGAAGAGCTATGTGAAGAAATACTGAGTATATTTTGCCTTTAGATGGCCACTGGTTTCATCATTTGAGTACCAGGAAACTGGAATGATTCCCCTATAGAAACAAAATGCTTCTGTGAAGGAATATGCACCATACATTCCTCTTCCCATGAAGTGGAAGAAGAATCCCTAAGTATTTGCCAGGTACTAGATGCAGTAAGACAGGTCTCAATCAATGACCCTGGACTTAATGCCCAAATGATCCAGGCAGGTGAGGTTTGGGTTGACTTTAGGCCAATGCACAGAAAGAAACAGCCCTGGCACAGACCCTAGACAGTGTGATTCAACCGACTAAAAACTGAGCAAAACAATATTCCCAGTACAGAGCTTACAGGTAGTTGTTTTACAGCTCTGAATTAGGTGCTGCTTTATCTCTCACCATCATCTCTTCTCTCTTCTGAAAATACATCAAATCAGAGCATGTCAGTGTTTCTCTGCCCTTACAGATTCTGCACTCACCATCAGGAGACTAACACAGCCTTCTATCAACTGCAACATCTCACTAGACATGATCTCAAGAACTTACCCCAAAAGGCCTTTAGCTTTATGGAATCAGTTTTGAACTCTCCCTACATTTTCTGTACATTCTCATTTTTAAATGTGGTCATGTCTTCAAGTCACAGGGAGATTAAATGCACTGTGATGCAATTGTAGTCGGTGGTCTGCCTAACTTTCTAATTACAAAAGGGCAGAAAACAGCAGGGTTCTCTGTGACAGAGGCCAGAAAAATCCCAGACCCTAAAATCCAGTCACCGAAGAGCTAACTTAGCAGGTGAAGGCACTTGCAGCGAAGCCTGATGAGCTGACTTCAATGACAACGAGAACGGACTGGAAGCTGTCCTCTGACTCTCACATGAATGTTGTGGCACACAACACCCCCCATATATAATTTCGTTGTATAAAAGTGTGGATTCGGCATGCACCATCTATATATTTGCAGTCTTTTTAGCAGTAGACTCAGAAGTCAAGATCCTCAGACCAATTCACTATATTCTTGAAGGTTTTTTTCTTTCTTTTTGCTATCTGGGCTCTATAGTTTGTTTCATGACTTAAGAAAAAAATATACATGCAGGGTTAAAGATGCTTCTTGTGGTTATTGTCATGAAAATCTTAACTATGCTGTAGAAGGGACAGTAAACACAATTTACATGTTTCTGGGGGTTGGGGGGAGACAGCCAAGCTCTATGCTACACAATTTAGATGTGTAAACCATAGGGGACCTGCCTAAGACTCCCAGTGTGGCACCTGCTGTGCTGTTATGTGTACACTGGACAATGTGTATGTTTTATGTATACAGTCTGGACAATGTTTGGGAAATACAGTTGAGAATACAACTATTAACATAGAACCAGTTGACAAAATGACAAGAAAGAAAAATATTATTACTTAATTAAATCAGGATGTGGTTCTAGAAATCCAGTTAAGTATTGCCACAGAGAGTACCTTTTATACAATCAAACATATTACATGTTTTCACAATAAATCCATCTGTGTTTGCTAGCTGGCTGTAACAGAACAATAAACTCACACATATTGGAGAAATTTTGTGTCTTCGAAGCAGCTGCCTAATGAGGTGCACTGGTGTTCTGCAAGGTGGGAACTGCATTTAAAGGTACTGTCACACTCTTTACATTTGTACAGCTTCTCTCCAGTATGGACTCTCTGGTGTCGGTTAAAGCTTGATCTCTGAGTAAAAGCCTTGCCACAATCTTTACAACAGAAGGGCTTGTCCCCAGTATGGACCCTCTGATGTTGAGTAAGGCTTGATCTTTGATTAAACGCTCTACCACAATCTTGACAATGGTAAGGCTTCTCGCCTGTATGAATTCTCTGGTGTTGAATAAGAAGTAAGTTACGGCTGAAAGCTTTGTCACAGTCTTGACACTTGTAGGGCTTCTCTCCGGTATGAATTCTCTGGTGGCGAGTAAAACTTGACCTCTGAGTAAAAGCCTTGCTGCAGTGCTTACAATGATAGGGCTTGTCGCCAGTGTGAACTCTCTGGTGCTGAGTAAGGCTGGACCTCTGCTTAAACGCTTTGCCACAATCTTTACAGTGGTAAGCCTTCTCTCCAGTATGAATTTTCTGATGTTGAGTAAGGAAAAAAACACGATTAAAGGCCTTGCCACATTCATTACATTTATTGGGTTTCTCCCCAGTATGACCTCTCTGGTGTAAGCTGAGGCTTGATCTTTGATTAAAAGCTTTGCCACAATCTTTACAAGAATAGGGCTTCTCTCCAGTATGAATTCTCTGGTGTTGAGTAAGGCTTGATTTTTTATTAAATGTTTTGCCACAGTCTTTACAATGGAAGGGCCTCTCTCCAGTATGAATTCTCTGGTGCTGAGTAAGGAGTGAGTTACGGTTGAAGGCTTTGCCACAGTCTTTGCATTTGTAGGGCTTTTCTCCAGTATGAACTCTCTGGTGTAGGCTAAGGCTCGATCTTTGATGAAACGCTTTGCCACAATCTTTACAATGGTAGGGCCTCTCTCCAGTATGAATTCTCTGGTGCTGAGTAACAGTTGATCTTTGATTGAAAGCTTTGCCACAAAATTTGCAGCAGTAGGGTTTCTTGCCAGCATGAATGCTCTGGTGTTGTGTAAGGAGTGATTTATGGTAGAAGGCTTTGCCACAGTCTTTACATTTGTGCTGTTTGACTCCAGAATGAATTCTATGATGTTGCCTAAGGCTTGAACAATAGGTAAAGGCTTTGCCACATTCCTTACATTTGTAGGGTTTTTCTCCAGCATGACTTCTAGTAAGGCTTGAACTTTGATTGAAAGCTGTGTTGCAATCCATATCCTTGGAGATTTGATCTTGAATATGGATATACTGATGGATAATAAGTTCTGAGTATTGATGAAAGACTGTGTCACATTTGTAGCATTTATACAAATGAGCAGACTGATGATTAGCAGGATTTGACTCTTGGGTTAAGTCACTATTATTTTCACTACCTTGATAAACTGTCTCTCCAATATACATGCCCTCGTGATTACTTAAGGTGGACTCCTCAGTGAAGGCCTTCCTATTTTCTTTACATATATACTGAATTTCCAAAATATCTGTACTTGAATTTTGGTTGGGTGATACTGGATGTGTAAAAAACGTGCCATACTTATGGGAATTCTGTGCTTTGGCACATGAAAGACCTATTTGTTGATTATACACTAATGAATTTTTCATGATGGAGTTCTCAAATTGATTACATTTAGAATCTTTTCCTTCATTTTTAAGTTCCCCATCTACAAAAATATTTGAATGAAAGCTTAATCCAAAGCTACATTTGAAATTGTTGAAGTCATTAGCTGAAGAATGAACTACACCCCTTGATAGATGTCCCAAACTGTCTTTGAAAGAAGGGGTATGTTTCAAAAACTGACTCTGATGTTTACTGACAGAAGCGCACGGCTCTTCACAAGTAACTGGCGTAACCTGAGGGTTTTCATGAGCCATTTCTTGCTCCTGCTCTCTCCTGGAAGTGAAGCTTTTACTGCTGTCAGCTGTCAGAAATGAGTCATGCCCATTATAACAGGATCTCAGGATGTCACCCTCCTCTACATGATCCCTTTCTTCTGGGAAGTACAAACTGTCAAAGCCACACTCTCCTCGAGGTCCATGGATGAGTTCCTGGAATGAATAGTTTATGCTCTGCTCTGGTGAGAAGTCTTGGTTATGATGAGGAAACAGAGCTGAAAGAAATCAAGATGGACACTTATTTCACCCACTAGACTCTGAAGAATACTCTTACAAATCTAACATATAAAATTATGCAGAGATTAGCACACCAGCAAACAGTGTGCACAGTGGGAACCTGTGACCCTCACAGTCCACAAACAGTGACCACAGGAACACTCCAAAAAACAAAAATAACTACTACTTTTTGTTTCTAAAGACTGAATTTTACTTTTATAAAATGAAAAGTTTATAAAGATGTGTTGCACAACAATTTGGATATACTTAACATTATAAAACAGAATAATAAAATCTTTCAGACAATAAATTTGATTTTATGTGGTTTTCATTATGGTTAAAGACTAAATGAAAAAAAGAAATAAAAGTGAAATTTCTCAGAAGCTAACTTGAAATCAAACTGTCTCTCACACATAGAAACAGATTTATCAAGACACAGATAAGAAAATTACTGTCATTTTCAAGAATACTCATAGAGACAAGGTGAAATGACAATTGAACACAATCCAGTCAGAAATCACCCAAGTCATAAACAAACCAAGGGTTCTATTTATCCAGGCAAATAAAAACACATGCAGTTTTACTGGTAATAGACATGTGTGTAACTCAATCTTATTTTATTTAATCTTACACTGTCCTGCAATAAACAGTATTTATAATTGACATTCAATAATAAAACACAGGTTAAAACTAGTAATTTTAATTGATATAAGGAACCTACTCCAAAAACTGAAAATACAGAAAAAAGAAATGTAAAGAAGGAAAAAAAGAACCATTATCTTATAAAATCTGGAACAAACAGGTGGTGATTAAAAAATGTCTCTACATAAAACTAATTCTCAGTTTTGTCTCTATATACCTGTCAATCAGGGTATGGTAAAGAAAAAAAACCCATTATAATGTTTATAATAAGCTGAGACAATTAAAACATAAATATTAAATAAATGTTAAGAGAAAACATCTTATCACATTAATGTATTAGAGTAACTGACAAGAAGGTCATGAGACATGTCCAGACTTTCTGAGGCCCCCAAACATCACAAAAGAACTGTCCTTTTATGCAGCCCTCACAGGTGAAGGGGAAGACTTCAGGGATCACTGTGAATACATAAGACATGACTGCAGGACAACTAGGCTCGGAGGACTTAAAAGGATAGGGAACACAGGGTAGACAATACCCTTCGGTGACAAAGGACAAACAGAACTGCTTCTGTGAAAAGCCAATGCCACCGGACCAGAGCTTCCTACACAGCTCATCTCTGCTCTGGGGCTCTGCTTCCTCCGCTCCTACTCACCTGGGAACGCTGTCAGAGTCTTTTGCCTCTTTACATTCCAGGGCTCTTTCCTTTGTTCCAGACAGGTAACTAGGTATGGCTTAGACATAGCAAGACCTAGTTATTGGAAAACAGAGCATGACACTTACTTGATATTTCCTCATAACCAGTAACATACCTGCCCTAGAATAATGTTCATATGAAAAAAACCCATTATAAACATATAACAATATTCTAAAAGATTACTTTTCCAAATGTTGTTTCCCTTCAGATATAGAATAATATACATTCAAATAATAGATTGTGCTCCACCTTTGTCCACTACCAAATCACAGTCAAAGGAGGAATAACTGGACTTTAAGATATAAATTACAATATTTTATGCCTCTTGGCTGTTGTAACTACCACTAATTTTAATTTGGGATATATATTATCCCAAGAGAGACATAGAGGATAAAGATATTAAAACTACAAATATTTACTACCTATTTCAATACTACCTCCCCTGTTTTCTCTCCTGAAACCACGGGCTCCCAAGACATATTCAGAAAAGCAACATGTTTTAGAGGTTTTACTGATATGAGCAGACACCATGACCAATGCAAGTCTTATAAGGACATTTAATCGCGGCTGGCTTACAGGTTCAGAGGTTCAGTCCATTATTATCAAGGCAGGAGCATGGCAGCATCTAGGAAAGCATGGTACAGGAGGAGCTGAGAGTTCTACATCTTCATCTGAAGGCTGCTAGCAGAATACTGACTTCCAGGCAGCTAGGATGAGGGTCTTATAGCCCACACCCACAGTGACACACCTACTCCAACAGGGCCACACCTTCTAATAGTGCCACTCCCTGAGCCAAGCATAAAACTATCACATTCCACTCCCTGGCCCCCAAAGGCTTGTTCAAACTATGAGTCTATGGGGGGCCATACCTAAAAATATCATAATGCAAAATACATTTAGTTCAACTTCATAAGTCCCCATAGTCTATAACAGTCTCAACAATGTTAAAAGTCCAAAGCTCAAAGTCTTCTCTTCTGAAATTCATCCAATCACTTAACTGTAATCTCCAAAGCAAGACAGGAAACCAGCTGAGCAAACTCCAAACTGCATCTCCATGTCTGATGTGCCCTTTATATTTCCAACTCCTTTATCATCTTTGTTGACTGCAACATACTTCCTTCTCCTGGGCTGGTTCCACTCCCTGTTATCAGCTTTCCTCAGCAGATAAACCATAGCTCTGGCATCTCAAACATCTTGGGGTCTCCAAGGCAACTTAAATGTACAAATTCTTGTTTCAATGTCTGGGATCGACACATGATCTTCTTGGCTCCTCCAAAGGGCTGGTGTCACTTCTCCAGTTCTGCCCTCTGGAGCACTCTAAGTTCAGGTTGATCCATTCCATTGCTGCTGCTGTTCTTGGTGATCCTCTGTTCAAATCCTCTGCATGACCCTGGCTATCAGTCCTGGGCTATCAACTGCAACTGAGGCTGCAGCTTTACCAATGGCCTTCCATGGCCTCTCACAGTGCCAGGCCTCAGCTGCTCTTCATGGCTCTTCATGCATTCAAAACCAGTACCACCTGGGTGACTCTTACACATTACCAAGTCCAGCTGCAGCACGAGGTACAACCTTGGTTATCTCTGGAACACAGCTTCTTTGTGCTCTCAGAAAACACTTAAGATTTCACCTCAGTGATGCTGGTCTCTTCTTAATCACCATTAATTTCTTAGCCCCAGCTAGCTAGCATCAATTGTCTCAGTAGTCCCTTCTATTCTGGACTCTAAAGCCAGAGCCACATGGCCAAAGCTGCTGAGTTCTGCTGCTTGCTGGGGCTGGAACATGGCCTCTTTGTTCTATTACATTATCACTAGCTTTCTGTTTTCCAACTCCTTCACTGCCTAACCTTGGCTATCCTGGAGCTTGCTCTGTAGACTGACTTTGAACCCAGAGATCTGCATGCCTGTCTCCTAAACCCTGGGATTAAAATGTGATCCACTAAGCCTGGATTTAAGTTTTTCTTCACCTAGAATTTGCTCTGTTGTAGGCTGCCCTTGAATTCAGAGATCTGCTTGTCTCGGCTGCCTGAGATTAAAGGATTATACTACCATGCCTGGACCTAAACTTAGTTGGGTGAGATCTTGCCCTAAGGACACTACTCCTTTAACTCAACTTAATATCCTTGAACACAAGATTCAGCTCCATTTCACTTCCTGGTGCCCCTTTAATACTCAAACCATATATTTTATATTTTTCCTTTCTCAGCTTGCTATGCTTGTTTAAAATGTTCTTCATGAGACTAAACCAGAGAACAAAGTCTATGATGGGAATTTCTCAGACGTCCTTGGTCAGTGCAATTAATCTAAATCTCTTCACCTTCTCTTCAGACATGGGCAAAAAGTAGCCACATTCTTCACCAAGACACCACAAAAACAGTCTCTAGGCCACATACTGAAATTCTCCACTGAAACCTCTTGGGCCCGGTCCAGACAGTTCAAATCACTCTCAGTAATAGTTTTCCATATTCCTACTAAGATAGGCCATTAAGCCCCATTTAAAGCATTCCACTGCTTTCCAAATCCAAAGTCCCCAAACCCACATTCTTTCAAACAAAAGCATGGTCAGGCCTATCACAGCAATACTACGGTCCCTGGTACCAACTTCTGTCTTAGTTAGGGTTAATTGCTGTGAACAGACACCATGACCAATGCAAGCCTTATAAAGGACAGTATTTAATTGGGGCTGGTTTACAGGTTCAGCAGTTCAGCTCATTACCATCAAGGCAAGAGCATGGCAGCATACAGGGAGGCATGGTGCAGGCAGAGGTTAGAGTTCTAGATCTTCATCTGAAGGCTGCTAGCAGAATACTGGCTTCTAGGAAGCTAGGATGCCGGTCTTATAGCCCACACCCATAGTAACACACTACTCCAACAGGGCCACCCCTTCTGATAGTGTCACTCCTGGGCCAGCATATACAAACCATCACACAAGAAAAATGAATTTTAGTACTGAGTTAGGAACTCTGTGGAGAAGTTGTTCTTACCCAAGAAGACAAGATTCCTATAGTTTTCCAACATCACATCCGTATACAAATTCTGCTGTTCAGAGTTCAGACACTCCCATTCCTCTCCGGAAAAATCAATGGCCACATCCCTGAAGGTCAACTGTTCCTGAAATAAAAATACATAGCACAATGGTCATGCGGTCACTGACTCTGTTCTTAATGTGAGTCAGGATGAAGTGAGTCAGGAAAGAGTGTTTCTCATGAGCTGAACGATCCTAACTACTCACTGAGACATGTTAGCACAGTAGTATTATTTAATGTATTACCTAGCTCTTTAGTAAAGATGACATAAAATCCACAGAGGTAAATTAGATACTATACTTTTATGAAAAACTAAATGTAAAGGCACCAACATAAGTATTTACATTTTTCAATTGTATATTAATGTAAGATGTCTATTTTTCAGATGAAAAGGACATTCTGAGAAAGGTACTTTTCAAACCATGTGTACTTCCCATAAATGGGAAATATTAAAATACAAATTCTGATTAGAATTATACTTTTATGACTTTTTGAAACACGACTACCTGATTTTTTTCCGAGGTGGGGGGAGCTGTGGGTTCAGACCTAGTGCTTTATAGCTACTAAAGTGAGCTATAACTAAGCTATGGCCCGGCCCTAGAGTCAGATATTCTAAGTCAGTAGTTCAGAACTAGAGAATACATTTCTGACAATACAGCAAGCTCACTAGGAATGCCAATGTTAGTGGTCCAAAAATTTAAAACAATTACTGAACAGCAATAAGGCAGATACTAAGAGAATACATTAATGACTTGAAAAAATTTTAAGGAATTTGCATTTTATTATAATATCAGTACAGAAATGATCCTTTCTGATCATTAAAATATACTAAGTATCACTGACTTTTTCATACATTAATGTAAAAAACCTGCAAATAATCCATGAGACCAGGAATGTTTTTCCCCTTCTATGACATTTTATCAAACATTCATAAATGTTAAAGCTGGAGTTTTATTCAAGCTCAGTCAGTCTAGAAGTCATACAATAAGAATATAAAAAACAAAATAAAGTACAAATGTTAAAATATCATTCAGAGTAGTTGAAAAGATTAATTAACATGCAAAGAGGATAGCAGAAAAATGACAATTATATTTTATGTGCCCACCCTAGTGAATTACTTTGGTTGGTATGACAAAATACCTGACAGAAGTAAATTAAGAAACATATATTTTAGGAAATATTAACTATACACAATGGATTACATTTCCACACTCGTATATATGTATTTGGATTCTACTCACCTTCCCCGTATCCTCTCATGCCCTCCCACTCCAGTCCATCTTCTTTCTGCCTAGTCCCCATCCATCTCCTCCTCCCCCTCCCCCTCTTCTCCTTCTTCTCCTCCACGTTTTCCTTCTTTTGATGATCCAGTAAGTTTTATCAGTTGCTCAATAACTACAATTCTACCCACAGATTAATGCTACTATCTGCTTCTAGTTTGCTCTGATGGACATGTTAATGGGTGCTAGGGTCATCCCCAGAAGATACATCCTAGACCTTCAAGACACTATATTAAAGTTATTTTAAGTATTCATGAAGGAAGGTTGAGGCCTAATCCAGAGGACCCTCAGAGGAACACAGGCTGGTTTGATAACAAAATCTTACTCACAGGGTAAGATATATAATTTATGTACATTAAAAAATCCAAGTTACTTCCAGAAACGTTCCCCCTCCAAAACTGTAAAAGTGCAGAGGGCGATCCTATGTTCCATTTACCATCCTTTCCTTTTCACTCAGGGAGGAACCCTTCCTCTCTGGCTGCTTTCAGGTGACCGTCAGCTCTTCCTTCACCCATGAGCCCAAGGACCATGAAATGAAAGGGGAGAAAAGAGCCGAGTGTTGGGATAAAGTAGATGGTAGAGTCCAAGAATCTACAAGTTAGAAATGAGGGCCAATAAGCTCGTACTGAGTGCATATTTAAGCGTTGGGAATTCTAGCTAGCATTTCCTAGAGCCCCTATGCCCCATGCAAACCACACACAAGCGTTCAAGGGGGGAGGGGGGAAGGGGTATTCTTTTTTAGAAGAAAAGCACTAAGAGAACTGTGGTGAAGGTGATGGAGGAAAGCGCTCCTTGGGGAAGAAAATAGGCAGCTCCTACTAAGGATGAAGCCAGCATTTTCTATTGGACCCTTAAGTGGTCCTAATTTGTCCTATATTGTCAGCCACTTAAGTCTCCTGCATCATTTACCTCATTATCAACCTCTATTCAGGGTAACACCACCACCACCAATTCTAACTCAGTAATGCATACTCGTGCATTTGTCTAAGATCTTTATTCCAGGCCTGGGATCATGGAGCAGAACACAAAGGGCTCATAAGAAAACAATCAAACCCTCACAGGAAGAAACAAAGGTCACTAAGACCAGCTTATACCCTTGTAGCAGGCAGGTGCACGTTATATTAAAATGCAAACAAGAAGTACCTTAAAGACACTTCCATGGTAAAATGAGTAACAGTAATGAATGGTCCCCAGGTAGTTGCTTTTTTAAATTTAGCCCATGATAAGAAATGTATTTTAATACAACATTCCAGTATGTATCTATACATCCTTGAAAATCTGAAATAAAAAGTAAACAAAATTATCTTCATGAAGTATGATACTACACTGTAATACTTTACATCATATTCTGTAAGTAAATTCATCAGAATTATTTCTGCCTGCAATTTAAAACATACTGATGACCAGCAAGATGGCTCAGCAGGTAAAAGTGCTTGTCAACTTGAGTTTAATACCAAGGACAAACACGGTAGAAAGAGAGAGGACTGACTCCCACGAGATCCCTCTGACCATCATATATGTATTGTGGTACATACATGTTCCATATACATATACACAAATAAATATACATGATACAAATTTTTAATAGAAATCATCGAGTTAGCAAACCGATGTAATGGCTAGGCACTGCCTCTTCCACCTCTACCTGCTACAATACTTAAGAATTGTGGAGAGCCGCATAGTGCCACGCCCTTAAGATGGTCTCTGCCTTCCACCACCTGTTGGTGGAAGTGCTCTCAGGAGTAAACAAGTCCTTATTTGGCTGTGGCTGGTGGTCTGGCTTGCTTCCGTGTATGTGGACCTATCTGCTGTTGCCACATGGCAGACGGGGGTGGGGGGGTGGGGGGGTGGGCTAGTCCTAGAGTACTTAAGCCTGGGAGACACTTCCCCCAGGGTCAGAGAGAGAAGCTTATTCAAGGTCCTGAATAAACTGCTTGGAGAAGAGCTTGTGTGTTGCGTCATCCTTGCTGGACGAGGGTGGGTGTGACAAAGAATAAACTCACTAACCAGCCTATCTTCTCTCAGGCATTTTGAAAGAAGACAATGTAACAGTTTCCTCTGAGGCAGGTAACCATTTGAAAAGCTCATAGGTGAATTCTGAACAGATCCCTCAGTCCTACAGCACAGTTTGATCCTGCTGGCCCAGGAATGGGTTTTAACACATACCTCTGTTTAATCTGTCTTTAATCTGCATCCTGAAGTTAATAATCTTGTAAATTATGTTCTTATGTGTCATTTTTTTCTGTTGATGGTTGCTAGAGACTATCTCTTCCCCACATTTTTAGTGGTTTCGTGTAATATTTATTCATGAAAAGTGACCATTACAACTGAGGCAAGATTCCCAATGATTTAAGTTTAACTCGATATTTGTGACAAAGTCTACAATCTTTTTAAAAATTAGTAATTATTAATATTATGCAGCAAACTTGGGTGTTGGAATATCTTTATTTCTAAGCTTAAAATAAATGCACATACTTTACAAAGTTGTAAAGAGAGGGTAAAATGTGTACATAGTGTCAGGTCTAAAACCTCCCCTCCAAATGGCAGTGATGGTGACATTGTCCTAAACAAGACTTTAATCAGACAAAAAGGATTGTTACTGGGTAAACAGGCCTAAAGGTTTCTGTTCACTGGAAAAGCAGAAAGTTTAAGGCAGTTTTTGTTCACCAGAAGCCTACCACAATGTAGGAAGCCGCGGCGTGCGCTGGCAAAATCCGCCATTGCAACATGGCGCTGGCATCCGGTGCTCTTCCTAGTAAACAAGTAAACTGCGCATGTGCTATGGTAAAAGCGCGCCAAAGTCAAAGCCCATCTCACGGCGTTTTGGCGCGCAACCAGTAAGCAGCCAATCAAAGGTGAGCACACCACTCTAAGGATATATAAACAGTGCTTTTTCCAGGCCTGGGGCCTTCCACCATTTTGTTTTTGGAATAAACGTTTTGCTGCGGAAGGATCCTGGTGTGTGTCCGCGTGCGTTCTTGCTGGTGAGACGATTACACGCGCGTCACGCCACAAAGTGGCACTGGTTTGTCAGGAAACCTTGCTGAGTGTCCCATCATGGGAAGGAAAGGTGCCCCTTCCACCAATCCTGGGCAACTCAGTTCCCAGTCTCTCGGTCTGCTTGGGGACACCCCAACTTGCAAATGTCACCATGGCACTTACTAAGTCTCTCCCATCCCTTCACTCTCCCCTGGCTGCCTCTCTTGCTGTCTCTCAGCTCTCTCCTTGACACTTGCTCTCTAACTATGGCTAACCACTTAGCTCTCCTCCTTTCCCCCTCCCCTCTATAAGCTGCCTACCCCATTCATTGGGAGGCTGGATCCTGCCTTTTCTATTTCCCTCAGCATCTGGAACCTAGTCTACATCAGTCCAATATGCATATAAGGCAGCTTCTCTACACCCTCCTGGGCTTCTAACACACTGAAAGACTCCCCCTCTGACAGAGCTCTATTTTCTACCCTATTCCCTACACCTCTCCCACCTCTCTCCACTCTGCTTCTGAAAGATGTCTTCTTTTCCAACTTGCTAGATCTCTCAGCTCCTGTCTCTCAAAATGGGTTCTTCCTGTTAAGAATTACCTGCCTCCTCTAATCTCTTTTCTCCTCAGACTCAGAGATTCCATCAAAGCCTCACTGTCTTACTACACACATCGTGGCCTCAGTACAGAAGAGATAATCAGTCTCAATAGTCAGAAAATGGCCAAATTCTCACAGACTATGACAACTCCTGCCATCACACAAGCAAACGATCTGAAAACCACCTTCTCCCTAAACCCCCTTTGCTCTATTCTGTCTCTAGTCTCTACCGCTGACCACTGGATTCCATCTTTAAAAGACTCAAATGTCTTTGGAGGTATGGATAATATGTTTTATGCTATTCAACTAAAAAGCTGGCTCTGTAGTTAATGGTCTGCTCTCTCCAGACCCAAGGAAGATTGTTTAAATGTTTTCTCCAAACTCTCTGTGTCCTGGATTAGAACAGTTATGTGACTGTGTCCAGGATGGGAGGGGGAGGGCGAGGGAGAGAAGGAAGGTAAAACAGAAGGGCCTACAAAAAGACAGCGTGTGCCTTAAGCTGTACAGCTAAAAGGTGAACTACTCCAGCAGGGGCTGCTGCTGCTTATTGAATACACTATTTCTTGGTCTTACTTAACTCTCTAAATACTCTCCTCTCTTATAGCTCAAAACCTTTTGCTAAAGTACAAACTTTACCTCAATATCTATAAGACCACTGTACAAACTTTATCTCAGGACTTTTAAGATCATTGGGTGTGGCTTAAAAAAAAAACCTGTGAAATCTGTAACAAAAAGCTTAAAACTTGTAACAGAAAAGGTTGATAGAAAAAATCTATACATGGGCAATTTTAATTTGCTACAGTATACTTATATGCAACTTGGATTTAACTCTAGTTTAGGAAAATAGATGTTTTTAAAAAGAAAAAAGTGTGTGCCTGATGGCTCACTTTAGAGTAAATAACAACCATGTTGCTGGCAGCCATCTTTACTAAGGTTAAAGAGAGAGCATAGCATGTGACTTTGTAACTGTCTTGGTTAAAGTGACCACAGCTAAAAACTGACTATGGTGGTCCCGTAAGACTTCCTAGTCCTAAGGAGCCCTCTGCTTTGTCTAGCCACTTATCTTAACCAGTCTTTGTTAACTGTGTTCAACATCAAGCTAAAAAAAAAAAAAAAAAAAAAAAAACAAATCAAAACAAAAGAAAAAAAACAACCTTTTTTAGACACGGAACATGTTTGATGAATAAGGTTTATGAATTCCTAAGAGCTATTCAGGCTAACAAAAACTAACTTGAAGATGTCCAGCCTCTCTGTCTTTGGTAACTCTGTAAAGCTTGAGCTATTTGGATAAACTGACTCAGAAGAAACTATGATATCTACAAGGTATAGTATAGACGGGTCAGAAAAGCAAGGTCTCAGTTTCTCTGTGAACTGAATTTATGGTTTAAAGTCTTATCTCAAAACTAGAGGATCTTAAATCTCCAATTCCAATTTTTAAGGCTTAAGCTTAACAGAGATAAAACTGAAAAATTCTAATCTTATAAAAGCCAAGACCTTGTAAACTGTTAAAGATAATTAAGACATCCAAGTTATGGGTCAGTTACCTTATAAATGATCAGTCTTTAAAGCACTTGGAACGACAATTGTAGTCATGCTAAGTGTAAATGTGATTTATTTAAAGTGACAACCTTTAGCCTTCTGAACATGTCATCAAGGTTAAGCCTAAAACAAGTAGTTGAAAATAAGTACAGTTTGTTTAAAATATGGTCCAGATCATAGATTCAATGATAGCCCTCAACCCCCTCAGAGAGATCTTCTGAAATATGGCATATAAGATATTTAATGAGGGCTGGAGAGATGGCTCAGCGGTTAAGAGCACTGACTGTTCTTCCAGAGGACCTGAGTTCAATTCCCAGCAACCACATGGTGGCTCATAACCATCTGTAATGGAATCTGATGCTCTCTTCTGATATGTCTGAAGACAGCTACAGTGTACTCATACATAAAATAATCTTTTTTTAAAAAAAAAAAAAGATATTTAATGGAAACAGCAGAAATCCTAGCTCCTGGACATAGCCCTAACTCTCCACCAAAGAAGAAAAGGGCAGTGGACTTCAGTACTACATTGGTAATTGGACAAAGAACCATTCACCTCCCCAACCACCAGGACCCTGCCCAAACTGTGGACAAGTGGAACACTAGACAATCTACTGCCTGTCTCCTGGCCTCATCAAGGTAGCTCAGTCCCCAAATTCCTCCTCTTTAGGACTATTTCTTGAATTTTCTGTGCTTTCAGACCAAAGACTGATACTGCCCTGGGTCTGCTGGCTGCAACAAAGCTACCAAGATTACCATGGAGGAGCCCAGGTGGCCTGTCCAGGTAGCAGGTTAGTCTTTGTCACTCTAAACTGATACAGAGGCCATTTGGTCTATACTTTCTACCCAGATTTTCCTTCTCAAATCTCCCTGATAGTGTTGGTGGTGGCCCTAGCTTACAGTTTAGCTGACCTCAGCCCTTCCCCCTAGGCTAGATCAGCTGCCAGATCAGATACTTAGAAAGTCAGTTTCACTTTACAAAACTCTGGCCTTACAATAACTTTGGGTACAAAAGTTGAACTTACTGTTCATGATACAAATTTAAAATTTTTTAAAGGTTTAAATTATCTGAGTCTCTTAAGTAAAAAAGACTTG